ATGGCCAGATACCATGTGGCGCATCACACCGGTGCTGCCACTCACATGCACACACTAGGCTGCCTCCTGCTGCGAGTGCCAGCACGATGAGCCATGCGGCGTCTGACCACGAGCGACCGCAGAAGTCAGACAGCAGAGCGACAGGTGTCGGGGCATGAGAGGTGTGGCTGCGGTGGTCCTAAGGTAAGCAGGTAAGACATCCCCCGAAAATAAGACCTGGTGCTTATTTTGGACTGAAAAGAAAACAAGACCAGGTCTTATTTTCGGGGAAACACGGTACCAAGTTGTATTTACTTTTACATACAGTAGATTTTCTTAAAAGGTAAGAGATACAAATTTTAGAACACTTTCACCTGTATGCCTCAACTCAACTCATTTAATGACCGTGTGGAGTTACAATGTCACTGAAAAAAAGCGACTTGTGACCAGTTCTCGTACTTATAACCATAGCAGAATCCCCATAGTCACGTGATCAAAATTTGGACCCAATCGCATGTATTTATGATGGCTGCAGCACTTAACAATTACAATGATTAGCTTAACAACCGTTAACAAAAAAAGTTTGAAAACTGGGAGCTTCTCACTGCCTTGTTTAGTAATGGAAATTCTGATTCCAATTGTGGTCATAAATTGAATCGTCTGAATACCTTTAAAAATAAGGCTGAAGCATACACGTTTTTGTTTCACTCTGATCTCATACGATTTTCAAAAACTGACATCAGAAAAGGTTTCAGTATTAGTGAAAATATTTAGAACAGTTTTCAGTATAAAACCGGGAGTATTTTTTTGTTAATTTCCACTTAAATCTGATGTTAGGTTGAAAAACAACTGCAATTAACACCAAAGTAAGGAGATAAGGGACTGTTTCCTCTTCCAAAACAAAAAAACAAAAGACACCCACCCCAAAACCCAGTGGAAAGGAAGGAACTTTGGTTTTCAGAAATGGAAAACCTCTAATGAATGATAGAATTAGGCACATCTCCTCAAAGGAGAGAATAACAATGTCAGCATGGCAAGTTCTAGTATCCTGAACCTACAAAACAGATTTGATTGGCTATAGTCAGCCTTTGAGCCAAAAATGGAGTAGACAAGAATCTGTTATCAGAAATGCTCACACTACCTGGTTAATTTCTTCCTGAGTGGATTTTAAAGATTTGATTATTGTTTCCAGTTGTACTTTCCCAGCCTGGATGCTCTGCTCCAACTGGGTCTCTTCCTGCTGAAGCCGATTCAACTCGGTTTTTGCTCTACTGATGTCATCTTCTTGGGACTTTAGATCTGATTCCTGGGACTGAATCTGCATTTTTAATGATGTGATCTAAAACAAAGATTTCAACTCAGATTTGGTAGCAGGAAAGGTTTTTGAAAATTAGTGTGAAGTTGAAAACCACCTGCTACTTCCCATCTCAGCATCTTACACCCAACTCAGACCACCACTAAATATGGATGGTTGGTTTAGTCAGGACAGATGAGAAGATAGTTGATAGGTTTCTATTTCTATTTATTCATGCAGATTTATGTATAAACTTTGGTCAAGTTTACAAACTTTGGTCAAACTCTTTGAAAATGGTACCCTCATATGACTCAACTTAGAGTTATGTTCAGTAAGTTCTTCGAACTTTTCTCTCGTTCTTTGAAGAAACATTTTACATTCTAGGGAATAAAAAGAATTGAAAACGGATTTCATCCCACTCAGCCAGCATCTTTCACACTCACCACTTGTGACTCCTCCTGGCATTTTTGCCTTACGTCATTTAACATATCTTTTAGCTTTGCCTTTTGTTGATCCATCTCATCCAGTCGATCTTGAGCATCCTGCTTTTGAGCCTCCAGTTCTTGCAAGCTGCTGGTTTCCCGGTCTAAATCGTTTTGCAGTTCCTGCAGAATGTTTGTTAAACACAGCTCTATGAAGATGTAAACATATATATATATATATATATATATA